TTTTACTAAGGGGTTGCAACCTTCCTAGTATTTTTTCCGACCACTACAAAGTGTATGTATATTTAGTTAATAAAAACAAAGCTGTACAACAATGCAGCGAAATAGGTAAATGTGAAAATGAAAGATAATCAAATTATTTACAATCGCTACACACTCCATATCTAGTGTAAACCCGAAGGAATAAGACCAGGAGGCATGTGGATGGGAGCCTGTAGTGACCATGACATTTTACCCCATCAAACATCACATTCAGACTTGTGCACATTTTGTTTTACTTTGCACCCATCCCAAGCCTATATATACTGGACTGCAATTTTGAACCGAGTTCGCCATCTTGTCCGCGCGCTGCCGGCTGTTGTGCTCCTACGTGGTGTTACTCGTTGCGTCACCACTCTCTCCCATTTTCCTCAAGCTATATTCACATAGCTATTGTACATAGCTATTTTCTCAAGACAATCTTTATATCCCACCGTCTTCTGTCTCACCGGGCTACGGTTTTCTTGTGTAGCATTCGTCAAGCCGCTACATAATTGGTGACCCCAATCGCATTCCGGTGAGTTCGTTCCATTTCTTTGGTTTTTCCACGCAAATCATGGCCTCAGTTTCTAAAAAGTGTGAGGACTCACAGTCGGTGCAAGCGGTATCTCTGGTAGTTCCACCATTTATTGAAAAAGATCCTGTTTTATGGTTCATGATTTTAGAAGCTGAGTTTACTTCTAAGCATGTCACTAGCGATTCTGCGAAGTTTAATCACTTGCTAACACGCCTGCCGACTGATATTACTTTAGCACTACGTGATCTTATTATTACATCTTGTCCTCCTGACCGCTATAATTCTCTTAAGAACGCCGTTATAAAGCGTGTTACTCCCTCCGAGAAATCCCGCTTGCCTAAACTTTTTACTGGTCTACAGCTAGGTTCTAGTAAGCCATCCGCTCTATTGCTAGAGATGCGTGGTCTTCTTCACGGATTGCATATGGACGAGTCGCTGCTTCGAGAGTTATGGCTGCAGCGTTTGCCTGAAAACGTACAAGCTATGCTATCGCTTGCGAAATCGCAGCCTTTGTCAGAAGTTGCAGATATTGCTGATGATATGATGGATCGCTTCACCGGACCACCGTGTCCGTCGTCTAGTTCTCTTCGCTCACCTGACGTAGATTTCACTGTTGACCCTTCGGTCCAGACCATCGACACCACTACTCCACCTTCCACTGCTGAGCTCTTAACAGAGATAGCCGCGCTACGGCAAGAAGCTCAAAGCTTAAAGTTACATCGGCACCAACGGGATTCTCCATCCCGTTCTCCTAGCCCACCTCGAAGCCGAACACGACTCCCAATTTGCCGTTATCACGCACGTTTTGGAAGTTCCGCTAGAAATTGTATAAAACCATGCTCATTTCCCGTAAGGAGAAAAAGGACAGGCCGACACGTATTGGCGACGAACGCCGTCGGCCGAAGTCGTCCAAGTCGCCTCTTCAATATCGTTGATAGGAACACCTGGATCATGTTCCTGGTTGATACCGGGGCGGAAGTTAGCGTGATCCCACCGGTTCCAGGCGACGCGACTAAGCCACAGACAACCAACTTGCGTGCCGCTAACGGCACCGCTATCCGAGTCTTCGGTCAACGCTCTCTTACCATTGACCTCGGACTACGACGTCCCTTTCGATGGATTTTCACCATCGCTGCCGTTCCATTTGCTATGTTGGGTATCGACTTCCTCCAACACTTCGATCTTCTCGTCGATGCGCGTCATCGCAAACTCGTTGACCAAAAGACCCAGCTTTTCACATGTGGAGTTCGCACACCTTGTGTTTCTGTCACTCCCATTTACATTCAGCCTGAAGCTGATAAGGAATTTTTGGATCTGTTCAGACAGTTTCCGCAGCTCGTCCGCTCAGCTGACGCTACTCTTCCGGTCGCATCTAACAATACGCACCATATACGAACCCGTGGCCCACCGGTTTCTGCACGGCCACGACGTCTCGCCCCTGATAAGCTAAAAGCCGCTAAGGCGGAATTCGAGCACATGCTCGAACTTGGTATCATCCGTCATTTTCGTCCTTTTCTAGAGGGCAGAAGCTTTACCGTCTTTACTGACCACAAACCTTTAGTTTATGCCCTCGACTCGTCATCGACCTTAACGCAATCTTCGGAGCCACCTGTAACGACGCCCAGCTTTTCAGCTCCACCACAATCCCAGTCACCAGATTCGCCTCAAACTAATACCAGTCACGGTAGAAGAGTTCGTAAACCGGTTCGTTTCTCCGATTTTTTCGAATTCATCCACACTTCATGAATCTTTTTCATTTTCTCACGTTGTTTGTATTATGCTTTCCCGTAAATATCTGAATCTGTCTCCCCGAGTTTTTCCCCCATCTATCAGGTAAAGTCATGAGGCTGGCACGTTTGGGTCCGTCCGTTCAATGGTTGGCTGTTTCTCAATTGTTTGGTCGTTTGGATGCTTTGATCTACCCCCAACGCTTTGTCGTCTCGCCCGCTCACGTTGGCCTTTGGATCGTGGTCTGCTTGGCTCAATTTGGCTCGCCTTGGTCGTTTGTCTGGCTCGCCTTCCTGGCTTTGGCTGCTCGTGTGCCTGGCTCGTTGTTTTTGGTCCCCGCACGGCTCGCCAATACGAACAGGATTTCAGCTTCGTTGTGGCAGTGGATTGGAATGCGGTGGGGGGAGTGACCTCTCCCAAGCGCACCGTCTTTCAGCAGCGGTGAAAGGTCCTACCGGCCCTTTTTCTGGATTATCCAGTTTTTTTGTAGTCCGGTGTGCCCGCTGGGACGGCCCACCGATGATGCATTCCAATCCACAAGAAGATTAAATAATCCAAATACAACCGAACTCCTGTAATTCTGCCTTTATACATTTGCAAGCCAACAGCGATCGAAGTCCTCGTCCCTCGGCCTTCTAGGGGGAGGCCTGTGTAGTGACCATGACATTTTACCCCATCAAACATCACATTCAGACTTGTGCACATTTTGTTTTACTTTGCACCCATCCCAAGCCTATATATACTGGACTGCAATTTTGAACCGGGTTCGCCATCTTGCCCGCGCGCTGCCGGCTGTTGTGCTCCTACGTGGTGTTACTCGTTGCTTCACCACTCTCCCATTTTCCTCAAGCTATATTCACATAGCTATTGTACATAGCTATTTTCTCAAGACAATCTTTATATCCCACCGTCTTCTGTCTCACCGGGCTACGGTTTTCTTGTGTAGCATTCGTCAAGCCGCTACAAGCCACCTCTCATCAACGGAGCCGGCCCACAATCCTTCCCAGGCAAACACAAGCACGCTGTAGTTGGGGAATCAAGTGCACACAAGGCAGTGGCTGGACAGTAGTCCGCTCCACACTGAGTGAATGGAACCGCTCTTGGAGCCTAACACGGCCACAAGGACCGTACACCCCTTGCCCTACAGCAACGAAAAACTGTCTCCTGGAGCCAGTATGGACGAAGTAGTGGGTAATAGACAGGTAGGCACCTTGTCAACATGCACATCAAGCGCAACCACACCGGGGATGTCAACCAACAGCCAACCACTTGAAATGACATTATCAAATAAAACGTCTGTCAAAAAATACGGCTATGCAACCATAACCCTCCCCTAAATTAGCATATGAAGTAATTTGGTTAGCAACGAATCCTCGATAATTACAAAATGTTTACAAGTTACGCAAAAAATACTACAAACGCAATTAACTTAACGGAGATAACCACAATTAACGTAAGCAACGTGGCCAGTTAATAGAAAATTACTTAGGTAAGCAGAACAAACCAAATAAAGTGGATGAAATGTATCCATGTTAAGAAGATCTAGTTTAAGGGTAAAATGATTTAGCCCAACTGCGGTGAAGAAGCATCATGAATGCAACATCAGCCTCAGCATAGAGCACCCAGCCTCTTCCGCTCTTTGCAGCAGCTCGTCGCTGCACATACCCCAATCGCGCAATACTAGCTAGAGTTATTAATTAAAACAGACCGGAAAAATCCTCAATACATTTATGTTCACTCACCCGTTAGTCACAGTAGGTAATCCGCGCCGGTCGGCCTCCACGTCCGTGAAACGAATCCTGCTTATGGTTTCCGGTGTGGAAAGCAGCGAATTGCTGTGTACGTTCCGAAAAGAGGCCTCCATGGTAGACAAGTGAAATCCTGGCCTTAATATTTTTCGCTCGATTGGACGAGCTGCCGACCCACCTATGACGCGAATGCATACAGCCTGTACCAGGCTGTGTAGTGGAATGGAGCGTCTATGGCGCAGTATAAGTCTCGCCACCGAGACAGGACGATTCGATACCTCATTGGTCAAAAAATGGAGCGTCGCACGTCACCTGTGGTTCCATGTTCGTCGGCCACTGTCTTATCGACCATGGTCGACATATGCGTGAGGCAAAACCGGCTTATGTGTCTATCTCACTATCTTGAACGTCGCATGACTCAGTGCGCGAAGCACATGGATTGCGACAGAGCGTGACATGCGTTAGGTTAGACGGGCTGAGCGAGGCTGGTTAAGGTACACTTTCTGCTGTCACGCAAGCAGTCCATTCGCACCGCTTCTATGTCCCTTGGTCAACAGACAAGGTAGGGTAATACTGAACTGTGAATTGATGTGCCGAAAAATGGAACTAAATCGTGTGTTTCCGAAAGGTCATCCGTGCAGTAGGGTGATTTAGAACCTGCGCTACACGCAGGCGTCTACTGACAAAGAACGCTGGTAGGCACGCATTGGAAAATAACCTCGCGGAGCACCAAAAAATGAGTTGATGAAAAGAGATTGAGATATAACGGCTCTAAACAGGTTTTCATTGTTGCTTTTCAAAGGTAACCACCTCATGCAAGTCACTGCTAAAAGAATAAGTAGTTCATTGAGGAGTATATACAACGCAGCAGAGCTGGTGACCACAATGCCAATACTTAAGTGTTCAGTGAAGATACTTGTGTCGAAGCAGTGCACGTCCCACTGCTTCTACAAATTTACCTGTAGCTGTTGGACAGCTACGTTTGGCGCACTACTCGGAATCTGGGTGTTCGAATCAATGAACACATTCCAGGCAGATGGAAAATGCGACGATCGCACGCGATGAATGGAGAAGCAGTCGCTTCCGCAATTACGAGACATTTGATGAGCACCGGTCATGAAGTGAACCCACATGAGTCATTCACAGCGCTTATGCGCAGTCAAAGGCTTCACATACTCAAGCTACTCGTGGCCATTTTTATCGATCGGCAGTGCCCACCACTGTGTGTCCAAACACAGCTGACAATGACATTAAGCCTACCGTGGTAGCGTGCAACGCATGAATCGGAACTCGCTTGAGCCATAATTGATTTCATGTGACCTAGTTTTGCATTCCTTTTTAGTTACTTGTAGTGTGCTTGACGAGTATGCACGCAATGACAATGTCATCACACAATTTTCGTCTTCGTATATTATTATTTGGAATTATGATAGGAAATACTTGTTTCACATTTTGCGTTGGTTGTAGCTTCTCCATCGATTGGTGCTGCTTCAGCTCTTGCGGGCAATGCTCCCCGCGGGGAAGCAACTGGTCAAATTCGGACTGATACACCCAACGTTCTCCCATATTTGTGCTGAAACGAACGCCGGATCCGCGGTCTACATACGACCCAGAGAGAGAAAAGATAGTCAGGTTCAAGTTCACTTGGGACTGGAACAGTCAAATCACGTCAAGAAATTTCCGTATATGTTCATTTGCGACTGCGTGGTTGAGTCATGGCCTTTATCGTTGGTAACTTTTGCCATCTAGGTGAGCCAAAGTAATACTTGTAGGTTGAAGAGTGGCGACCCTGTGGGCACTATTGGACGCTCAGGAGTCTAGGACAGGACTCTCATAGGAGGGCAGGTATTTTTGAATAAATAAGCTCCGAAAAAGAATAAAAAGGCTTTTTATACATTGTGGTGAATACTTTCTACTTTAGTTAATAATATTGCATTTTTGTAGCACTTGGTTAATGCAAATATAACTATGCAGTTTTCACATTTTTTGTTTGTCAGCCGTTAGGTAGACGCATGTAACGCGATTTGAGTATTGGCACGTTTGCAACATGGAAATGCACACTTGATTGATTGCGCGCTATTTTGCCTGCATTTCAAAATCGTTTTCCTGCACATTTTTTCTGACTGACCTTTGTTGCATTCAAAAATGTCTAATCGGGACTCCGATAGGACTCTAAACGGACGCCTGTGGGACGCTCAAAAGACGTCTAACGGACTCGAAACAGACGCTTGTGCCGACAGGGGATAAGTTTGGATTAGTGAGACGGATTTCAATATGTTTCGCGCTTTCACAAGGGAGTGTTCAGCACGTGGCAGCCGGGCGCAGTTTACCGTGGCGAACACCTGTGGACAAATTCTGCACCTTGTCAGCACAATGACTGCGGATGGACTTCCATTCTAGGGGAGAATCACGACAGGTGTGCGCGGTGGTTGCGGTAAATGCTTGGTGCTAACGATACTGTTGTTATTGAAAAGTGCGACCCAAATCTGGACTGTAGTTTCCAAGAACACTCTTACCAATCAGGAAGACTCCTGCGACCCGTCTCCTGCTCTCATTCATTGAACAAAATCGTAGGGGCATTTTGAAGTACCCGTTGTGTGAATGGATTGCAACACGCAATCTATCTACGTAGGCCACAACTGAAGGCCGTTGGGTTATCATTAACTTCTACGTGAAATAATCCATGGGGCGTCGATATTTCGAAGTGCTCAGATCGCCGATCGTTCCCGGGTTTGTGAACGTAGTTAATCATGTTATCTAAGGGAAGTGTGTCCCACAGATGCACCGGCGGCGAACAGCTGCTGAAGCTTTTGGCAAGTTACTCTTATATTTTCTTCAGTTTTTACCCTCCAAATGGACACATAACTTCATCCTGTCTAAGGAATACGTACCATCCCATTCCATTCCTTGATATTTCACCAACCACCTCGGGTATCCAATATTTAGCAATTGAATCATTATCTACTTAATTGCGGCCTTCCCATCATCTTCGTCTGTGTGTTGACTTGTTCAAGAGAAATGAAGGCCCTTACCTGGAAGGTGGCCTCCGTTGGAGCCGTAGTGGTTATTACTATTTCACCTTTTGTCCTTCCTATCATCGATTTTATCATGACATCCTTGGTACAGTTTGTTTGAATTAACGATTACAATAGACTTCTTCGTTGCCCGCGCTCCGTCGTGCCGATTTTTGGCTGTGCTGTTTCTGTATGTATACGGTGCCGTTCAGTCTGCTTGCGAATCGGATATTAAACGCGGAATTACTATCGAACGCTTATTTCCATAGTGCTCGACGTGTGTCACAGTTATAGCGCAATCTACGATTCGAACTCAACTGTGGTTAGACTGTGAGTTGACTTTTTCCGAATGTTCTTGCGTTTACTAAGGGACTGAAACCTGTCTGGTATTCTTTCGACCACTACATATATTGGTGACCTCGCCTTACTTTTTGTGAAAATGTATTTTTTCTTAGTCATGCCTGATCAGACCCCATGTGCTTTTACTACTACTTCCGTAGAACTCTCGCTTCCTACCTTTGACATTTCTAATCCACCTCTATGGTTTATTCAGGTAGCATCCACTTTCCGATGTCGCAAGATCACTACACAATCTTCCATGTTGTCATACGTCGTCTCGCACTTACCTGTCTGCCTCTGAAGTCATTGATATCCTTGTTCCTATGCCTGCAGAAGCGCTGTATGATAAACTTAAAGCAGCTATTCTTAAACACATCACTGCGTCTGATGAGACTCAGCTGCAGCAGTTACTTTCCGGTGTCGAGCTTGGCGAGCGCACCCCACCTCAGCTTCTTAGACACACGCGTTCCCTAGTTGGTTCGTCGAAACTCGACGACTCCATGCTCCGACAACTTTGGACGAAAGCCTTCCAGCAAACGTCACAGATGTTTTATCAGTTCATAGCGACAATATCACTCTGGATAAGCTTGTAGAAGCTGCGGACAAAACTCGCGAATGTTTCTTTAAGGATACTCTTAATCACGTAGTTGAGCCTACCACGGCCAGCTCATCCTATAACACTACGCTTGATTCGACCAACGATAGAAACTTCCGTTTTAACTTGGCATGTCTGCTATTCGACGTGAACGCACTACTAACCGAAGAAATCCTCGAGGTCCGCGCCGCAGACCTTCCGCTCACGTCAGCGGTCGTACTGCTACTTCCACCGTCACTTCGGTAAAGCAGCACGTAACTGTCGCCCGGGATGCAATTATCCGAAAGGAACTCCGATTTCGCAACCGGGAAATGCCAGAGCCAGCCAGCAATGGCGTCAGCTGTCGCTGGCCAAATCCTCAGCCGTCTTCTGTACGTGTTCGACTCCACGACTAAACTTCATTTTTTGATCGATATGGGTACAGAAATCAGCGTTATACCACAAGCTTTGGAAAAACGCTCTCTGCAACCAGCCGGACTTACGTTACAGGCGACTAACCAGACTAACTTTTGGACATACTGCCAGAAGCTGTTGCACCTAAGCCTTGGTTTACGACGCAAGTTCCTTTTATCATTACCATCGTTGATGTCCAAAAACCCATAATTGGCATTGACTTCCTCAGGAAATTTGGCCTCGCGGTCGATCTACGTTGCAGGAAGTTACGGGATGATAGCATTTCGCTCACTGTCCCTTGCCATCTCGCCCCAGTCACTTCCGTCGGAGTTCGCGTACTCATGCCAGGCAGTACGCCGTATTCATCATTGCTTCAGCAATTCCCGTATTTGGTTTGTACTAATGCCGACACTACCGAGCCTAAACACGAGGTTCGTCATCATATCGTCACAACGGGTCCACTCGTGTCAGCCAACCCGAGACATCTTACACCTGACAAGCTCCAAACGGCTAAACGTGAATTCGAACATATGATCAACCTCGACATCATTCGTCCATCCAACAGTTATTGGGCTTCCGCTCTTCATCGTGTACCCAAAAAGTCCGGTGATTGGCGTCCATGTGGTGAGTACCGGTCACTCAGCGCCGTTACCATCCCCGACAGAAACCCTCTTTCCCTTAAATGCACGTGGTGTTTTTCATTGGATTGTCAAGTAATTCCTCCTTGTATAGATTGTTCTCGCTCGCCGTGACCACGATTTCTTGTGTACATTGAAGACGTCAACGCTAAAACGTCCCGTCATGATCACCCCTTCGGTTGTTGCGAGTTCATTTCGTTATACTTTTTGGGCATTCGTATGCGGCCGTCTTTTCAACGCTTCATGCACCAGGTCCTCCTTGGCCTAAACTTTGTTTTTGTCTACATCGGTGATGTCCTAATAGCCAGTGACATGCCGGAATAGCGCTTGGATCACCTTCGACAAGTATTCGAACGCTTCGATCATCACGGGATAACCATTACTCTTGATAAATCTCTAGTTGGTCAGTCTAGCGTGCATTTTCTTGGTCACAAAATTAATAATAAAAGCATTAGTCCCATCCCTGAGGAAACCCAGGTAATCATGTACTATCCACTGCCTCAATTCGTCAAAAACCTGCGCCGATTCCTTGGTATAGTTATTTATTACGGAAGATTCATTGATAATTGTGCGGCCGTTCTTCGGTCTTTAAGTGATTTGCTTAAAGGTAATCCCAAGAAGTTCATCATTACACCAGAAGTCGGAACAGCGTTTGTTGCCATCAAGCAGAAGTTAAGCCAGGTAACTTCCCTGAGCTACTTGGATATCGACGGGAAACCTACTCTCGTTCTCAAGACTGACACCACACAATCCCCTGTCGGTTCTGTACTACAACAACTAATCGCTAATGAGATTCAGCCGCTGTCTTCCTTTTCTAGGAAGCTACAGCCAGCACAAACAAGCTATATCACTTTTGGTCGCGAACTACTCCCCATCTACTTGACCGTCAAACACTTACGTCACGTCCTTGAAGGACGACGTTTTCTAATCCTGAGGGACCACAACCTTTTGGTCTACGCTTTTCGTGTCTCTTGTGACCGCTATTCTCTGAGAGAGTCACGAGACCTAGAGTACCTCTCACAATTCTGTGTGGATATTCGCTACCTCGACAGTCCAAGCAATGTTTTCGCCGAGGCACTTTCACGTGCTCACATACATCAACTTTCGTCCTCTCCAATAGACCTTGAGGAAATGTCCGTCGCCCAGAACAGCGATCCTGAACTTGCTCGACTTCGATCGAATACTAGGTTGAAATTCTTGCAAGTACAGGCGTTTGGATTCACTGCGATATCTCTACCGGTAAGCCAAGACCGTTTGTTCCCCAGTCA